CGACCGTTTCGCTCCTGGGGGGATATATCGGCAGTTATCCTTGGACAAGGGGCGACAGTTCACTCCTGGTAGGATAACGTCAGTAATCTGTGAGATTTCCCTAGCTTATATATGTGTAGTATGATATAGCCCCCAAGGCCAAACCTAAATGTAGATCATCATGAAATGTATATATTTGTGTATTGTTGAGTTCTTGTGTTATATGTATAAACATGTGTATGCTGATTTATAAAACATATACAACAATGTTGGTCATGATAACATTGCATACCTCAAGCTCTACAGTTAATAAATAGCATTTATTAAACTGTATCATATTGTTATGGTTGTTTATAAATGTTACTATCTTACCCGATCTCTTAGCAACATATCCACCATTGTATATATGACAAACAGATTTCTGTTACTATCTTACCCGATCTCCTAGCAACATATCCACCATTGTATATATGACAAACACATTTCTGTTACTATCTTACCCGATCTCCTAGCAACACGTTCACCATTGTTTATATGACAAACACATTTCTGTTACTATCTTACCCGATCTCTTAGCAACATGTCCACCATTGTATATATGACAAACACATTTCTGTTACTATCTTACCCGGTCTCCTAGCAACATGTACACCATTGTATATATGACAAACACATTTCTGTGACTATCTAACCCAATCTCCTAGCAACATGTCCACCATTGTTTAAATGACAAACACATTTCTGTTACTATCTTACCTGATCTCCTAGCAACATGTTCACCATTGTATATATGACAAACACATTTCTGTTACTTTCTTACCCAGTCTCCTAGCAACATATCCACCATTGTATATATGACAAACACATTTCTGTTACTATCTAACCTGATCTCCTAGCAACACGTCCACCATTGTATATATGACAAACACATTTCTGTTAATTTCTTACCCGATCTCCTAGCAACATGTCCAACATTGTATATATGACAAACACATTTCTGTTACTTTCTTACCCAGTCTCCTAGCAACATATATTGTATATATGACAAACACATTTCTGTTAATTTCTTACCCGATCTCCTAGCAACATACATTTACCATTGTATATATGACAAACACACATTTCTGTTACTATCTTACACGGTCTCCTAGCAACATGTCCACCATTGTTTATATGACAAACACATTTCTGTTACTATCTTACCCGATCTCCTAGCAACATATATTTACCATTGTATATATGACAAACACATTTCTGTTACTATCTTACCCGATCTCCTAGCAACATGTTCACCATTGTATATATGACAAACACATTTCTGTTACTATCTTANTTTTGATGACTTCTGTTAAAAGACAAGTGTTCTGTAAAGCCATTTTGATGCCTTCTGTCATCAGACAAGTGTTTTGTAAATTAAAGCAATTTTTATGCCTTCTGTTATCTGACAAGTGTTCTGTAAATTAAAGCCATTTTGATGCCTTCTGTCAGCCTGACAAGTGTTCTGTAAAGCCATTTTGATGCCTTCTGTGAACCTGACAAGTGTTCTTTAAAGCCATTTTGATGCCTTCTGTCATCAGACAAGTGTTATGTAAATTAAAGCAATTTTGATGCCTTCTGTCATCAGACAAGTGTTTTGTAAATTAAAGCCATTTTGATGCCTTCTGTTATCAGACAAGTGTTTAGTAAATTAAAGCCATTTTGATGCCTTCTGTTAGCCTGACAAGTGTTCTGTAAATTAAAGCCATTTTGATGCCTTCTGTTAGCCTGACAAGTGTTCTGTAAAGCCATTTTGATGTCTTCTGTCATCAGACAAGCCTTCTGTTGTCAGACAAGTGTTCTGTAAAGCCGTTTTGATGACTTCTGTTAACAGACAGGTGTTCTGCAAAGCCATTTCAATGTCTTCTGTCATCAGACAAGTCTTCTGTTGTCAGACAAGTGTTTTGTAAATTAAAGCCGTTTTGATGACTTCTGTTAGCCTGACAAGTGTTCTTTAAAGCCATTTTGATGTCTTCTCTCATCAGACAAGTCTTCTGTTGTCAGACAAGTGTTCTGTAAAGCCGTTTGGATGACTTCTGTTAACAGACAGGTGTTCTGCAAAGCCATTTCAATGTCTTCTGTCATCAGACAAGTCTTCTGTTGTCAGACAAGTGTTCTGTAAAGCTTACCCGATCTCCTAGCAACACGTCCACCATTGTATATATGACAAACACATTTCTGTTACTATCTTACCCGGTCTCCCAGCATCATGTCCACCATTGTATATATGACAAACACATTTCTGTTACTTTCTTACCCGATCTCCTAGCAACATATCCACCATTGTTTTTTCCGCTTTTGGATGAGCAGTGGTTTGCTGAGTTTTTTTAGCGATGTTTCTACCCGGTTTAGATATATTGCCCATTAATCCTGTTTTCCTCATCAATACAGGCATTAACAACAGGCCTATTAGTGCAGTATATTGACTGTAAGAAAAAGATAAATTACAACATTATGGGGTTAAAACTTTAATAACAATAATAATAAAAATTTGAGGTTCTTATATACCGCTTTATCACAACCTAGTTCGTAGGTCGCCTCAAAGCAGTTCACAAATTATTATCCGTGATTATAGGGCCTTTGCAACCAGCCAATATCTTTCTCAACACCCTGGGGAGCATACAGTTGGTGCTGCCATTTAGGCCCTCACAGCTAGCATTCTACAGTTCTAGCACTGCCCAACCACGTACTCATTTACAGCTGAGTAGACTGGAACAAGGTTTTATTGAAACAAATAAACAAATTTGGATTAATGACCACAAAATTTGTGCATTTGTTTAAAAGATAACTCAGATTTATAAAAACAAGAGGCCCATGGGCCTAAACGATCACCTGAGTCCTACAGTATTTATTTTTGTTGTTGAAATATGTACCAATTTGAGTACAAAATAGTTAAGCATAACATTAACTTAAGTTTGTTAGGACCATGAGCTTATCATTCCTAGACCGAGTTTCAGTTAAATCGGCCTATTATAACTTGTTTTTAAGTTTAAAATAGTTTTTCAAAATGGCGCCATGGCGGCCATATTGAAGTTCTGATCGACCCGAAAAATAACAACACTTGGTCAGGGAGATGTAAGTAACCTTCCCATGAAATATTAATGAAATCCCTTTGCCAGTATTTCAGATTAAGTTGAAAATGTAAAATGTTAACATTATCAATACTTAAATAACAATAGACACCAAATAGAAGTATTCTTTTCAAACATTTACATTTGATTTATAATACAATCGGAAAATAAACATTTATGAAAACTAAAACTAAACCTCTAAGCGTACGCTTTTCAAAGTCAACAATACAACATGTAATATATACCCAAGGACAAGGCCAATAAAACATGTGATATATACCCCAGGACAAGGCCAATACAACATGTAATATATACCCAAGGACAAGGCCAATAAAACATGTGATATATACCCAAGGACAAGGCCAACACAACATGTTATATATACCCCAGGACATGGCCAATAAAACATGTGATATACACCCAAGGACAAGGCCTATACAACATGTAATATATACCCAAGGACAAGGCCAATAAAACATGTGCTATATACCCCAGGACAAGGCCAATACAACATGTAATATATACCCAAGGACAAGGACAATACAACATGTAATATATACCCCAGGACATGGCCAATACTACATGTTATATATACCCCAGGACAAGGCCAATAAACATGTTATATATACCCCAGGACTGTACTTACATTCTGTTGTCGACAACTTTTGTCTCTAATCTTTCTGAAGGATCAATCTCCATTTCTTCGTATGTCTTTTTTAGATTGTGTAGAAATCTATTCTTACTTCTTATTCGGTAAATGTGGCCCTAAAAGTATGAAATAAATCCTCTCAATTAGAAAAACACTAGATAAAACAGTACAAGTTATACACGTGATTATCTGATTTTAAGTGAAACATGACAATAAAGTAAACCATGACATAGTAGACCATGACAATGTAGTGGCCCATGAAAATGTAGTAGACCATGACATTGTAGTAGACCATGACATTGTAGTGGACCATGACATTGTAGCAGACCATGACATTGTAGTGGACCATGACATTGTATTAGACCATGACAATGTAGTAGACCATGACATTGTAGTGGACCATGACATTGTAGTAGACCATGACAATGTAGTAGACCATGACATTGAAGTAGACCATGACATTGTAGTAGACCATGACATTGTAGTGGACCATGAAAATGTAGTAAACCATGACATTGTAGTAGACCATGACATTGTAGTAGACCATGACATTGTAGTGGACCATGACAATGTAGTGGACCATGAAAATGTAGTAGACCATGACATTGTAGTAGACCATGACAATGTAGTGGATCATGACATTGTAGTAGACCATGACATTGTAGCAGACCATGACATTGTAGTAGACCATGACATTGTAGTGGACCATGACATTGTAGTAGACCATGACATTGTAGTAGACCATGACATTGCAGTGGACCATGACATTGTAGTGGACCATGACATTGTAGTAGACCATGACATTGTAGTAGACCATGACATTGTAGTAGCCCATGCCATGTAGTGGATCATGACATTGTAGTAGACCATGACATTGTAGTAGCCCATGCCATGTAGTGGATCATGACATTGTAGTAGACCATGACATTGTAGTAGACCATGCCATGTAGTGGATCATGACATTGTAGTAGACCATGACATTGTAGTGGATCATGACATTGTATTAAACCATGACAATGTAGTAGACCATGACATTGTATGAGACCATGGCATTGTAGTAGACCATGACATTGTAGTGGACCATGGCAATGTAGTGGACCATGAAAATGTAGTAGACCATGACATTGTAGTAGACCATGACATTGTAGTGGACCATGACAATGTAGTGGACCATGACAATGTAGTAGACCATGACATTGTATTAGACCATGGCATTGTAGTAGACCATGACATTGTAGTGGATCATGACATTGTATTAGACCATGACAATGTAGTAGACCATGACATTGTAGTGGACCATGACAATGTAGTGGACCATGACATTGTATTAGACCATGACATTGTAGTAGACCATGACATTGTAGTGGACCATGACATTGTAGTAGACCATGACAATGTAGTAGACCATGACATTGTATTAGACCATGACATTGTAGTAGACCATGACATTGTAGTGGACCATGACATTGTATTAAACCATGACAATGTAGTAGACCATGACATTGTAGTGGACCATGACATTGTAGTAGACCATGACAATGTAGTAGACCATGACATTGTATTATACCATGACATTGTAGTAGACCATGACATTGTAGTGGACCATGACAANGGTATATGTTCAGACTTGACAAGTAAACTGTAGATGTGTTTGTTCACACTTGACAAGTTAACTGTAGATTTGTATGTTCACACTAGACAAGTAAACTGTAGATGTTTATGTTCAGACTAGACAAGTAAACTATAGATGTGTATGTTCACATTAGACAAGTAAACTGTAGATTTGTATGTTCACACTATACAAGTTAACTGTAGATGTGTATATATGTTCACACTAGACAAGTAAACTGCAGATTGGTATGTTCAGACTTGCCAAGTAAACTGTAGATTTGTATGTTCAGACTTGACAAGTTAACTGTAGATTTGTATGTTCAGACTTGACAAGTTAACTGTAGATTGGTATGTTCACACTAGACAAGTTAACTGTAGATGTGTATGTTCACACTTGACAAGTTAACTGTAGATTTGTATGTTCAGACTTGACAAGTAAACTGTAGATTTGTATGTTCAGACCAGACAAGTAAACTGTAGATTTGTATGTTCACACTAGACAAATTAACTGCAGATGTGTATGTTCACACTTGACAAGTTAACTGTAGATTGGTATGTTCACACTAGACAAGGTAACTTTAGATTG